TGAGGTCAGAGGCACTCTTAGAACAGGGTGTTGGTTATCTGGTAAAGCTATCCTGGGGGTTTGCACAAGATAGGGTGTTTTAATAGCATGTAGACTGACAAAATGAAGTATCCTTTAAAACTATGTGGCATCTTTAAATTGCATCAACAAATTATATTAATCAAGCCTTGGACTACTGTCAAAATCACCATACACATCTCCTATCTAGCAAACTAGGATTTTCTGCCCTCTTCAGTGGCCACATGGACCTAGACTTTGTGCTTTTAACTTCCCTGCCAGAAGTCTGGAATTCAGTAAACTCAAGGGCACAGAAGGTAGAATCGCAGTTTAGCCAGAGCAAGGCTTAGCACTAGGTCAGCGAAGAACCAGCATATGCCTTGCCTTTTGCATTTTGACTCCTCATTTTGTCTGGCCACCATCCAAACAAGATTAGTCTCTCTGCACCCATATGAAGTTCCCTTATTAGCACACTGTATATTTTTATGTATATACTTTCAATGCTATTTCCCCCCAGTTTTCATGATTCTAATACACATGAGAATTAGACACCAGTCTTGTTGGCAGGAGGATTGGCTATTGTCTGGGAAGTCTTGTAAGTTTATGCAGTACGTTTGTGGATATCTGACATCACCTCACAGTTCGGATCAGTACCCCATGGTGTGGATAAATATTCACATTTCAGCACTGATCTGCTGATCTTCACCCATTCAGATCAAATTACAATCTACAAAAAGTGTTATGGTTTGTTTAGCATAAATGTTATAAAAATAATAATAGAAAATAATCAATCTTGTAAGAATGAATCAAAATCTTACCACTAATATGAGCCTCAAAGGTTGCGGCACTACCCTCCAGTGCCACAACACTTTGTAACGGCTGCGTAAATGTTGGTGCTTTCGTCGTCATCTTTACAGGCACTCTGGAAGCAACAAAAACATAATTAGATATCAATGGTGAAATTGCTATTACATGTGCATCTTTCTTGCTAGATTTTAGGGATATTTATAATTATTTTCATAACAATTTACTTTTCCCAGTTTTAGATCACATTGACCTGATGAAATATGAAGACTGTAAGTTTTGACGAAGTTGTACAGCAAATTACTCTTAGGGCACACTTGGCTGAGTTGGATGTGAAACAGCTATATTTAGTGAAGCTGTGATTTGGCATGACAAGTATGCAGCAGGAGACAAAATTCTGCTTGACTCATTGCATGACCTTGTGCAGGTCATTTAGCCTCTATTTGTCCATTAATTTCCTTTACCTAAAGAGAGAATAATCTCCACGTAAAAATTTTTCTGAATTATTCGAAAATGTTTTGTTAGTGGAAAGCATTTGCATTCTCCAATGAGAAGATAAGTAGGTCACTAAGTAGCAACTGGAAAAAATCTTAAAGTCTACAATCTATTTGCCTTTTAATAATTAAAAAAATGCCAGGGGGCTCTCTTTTAAAAGCAGTCTGCAAGTAGTGAATAATTTCATTTTACATAGAAGCATATTGGCATTGAAAATGCAGATAAAATTCTACTCTTTCATAGAGTATCTCAGTGGAATTTTGAGTATGGGAAGACAGTCACCTTCGAAATGTGAGCTAGGATATAAGGTAGCCACTGACACTGATGGTTTGAACAACTGCACACCCATGTGAAATCTGAAAGAAAAATGGTTTGCTTTCTCATCCTATACCACAAGATCCTACTTTGAAATAGCACTCTGCCACTAGGAAAGCTTCTGTATCAAAGTACTTCATTTTTGCATGAACATACTCATCTACTGTTGTTGAACTGTGCAGGTTTTTAAAATGTAGCTAGTATCTTCTTAATAGTATAATATATCTATTAAAGTCACAATTTTTCTCATTAAAAAATTCCCCTGAAAGCATATAATGTATTAATAAACAAGAGTTAACCCTGTAATCTTTTCAATGAGTGAGTCAATCTCGCTCACACATTTAGTGTTGGTTTTTTGTGCCTGATTTTGTGACAGTCCCAGGCTTAACTTAAAAATTAATGAGAAAGTGATGTTTCTTTCACTATGAGCCAAAGTTTTGCTACTTTAAAAGGTTGAAAATTCTTCATGACATGAGTTCCTTCATTGAAATCAGTGCCTGATGACTACACACAATAAGCACATAAGGGCCGAACTGTATATTGTATTGGGATTTTGAGATTTTTTTATTGCTTTTACTGATTATCTGGATACTTGTTCCAGCTTGACAGAAGAACAGTCTGTTATCAAAGATTTTCAGCTTTAAGAGTGGGGGGAAATGAGTTCAAATTAGAAAGAAATGATCAACATTTCATCCTAACACAAAACTAGTTTTCTGAAAGGAAGATGAAGGCAAATTCTGTCACATGTAACTCACTAAGATCTGCTTCATTTATAACTGAAGCTCAGCTAAAATGTAAGGAAATAATCTTCTAACATAACTAAACATTCTGAAAGCTTTTATACATATATACTTATACATATATATGTATGTGTGTGTGTGTGTAATTTCCTGACTCCAGAATAGACTGGAAATCATTTAGTTAGATAAAATTGTCATTGAGTTCACACAAAGTTTATGTATTTCATTGTCTGGGCAAATTGCGGAGATGAAGATCTGATCTTATAAGGCTTTTTGTATAATTAGAATTGAAAGTATGCATCTGAAATGTCATGTTCCAGAAATAACCCTCCCAGCTATGAATGACAGCAGACAAGTGTTCCAGAGCTGCCATGTAATTGATACCTTAGCAGTTGATTCCCTTAAAAAGTCATCAGCGCTTAGCTGATACCATATACATTTTATCAGAGCTATTCTTGGAGCTTCTCAGTTTATCTCTCAGTAGCATAACCTTGAACACTTCCAACAGAAAGGAGTTTTTAAGTTAAGCAGATGTTCCCATCCACTTTTCAAATATTAATTTATACAGTCTTTAACAACAAATATACTGAAAAAACTTCTTGCTGAGTGTTATCAAAATTTACTTCCAGAAATTTTTAGATATAATCTTGCCAGAGGATTTAAGTGCTCCATGGCTATACTCTGAAACCTATATCCCGCTGTAAGCAAATTTATAAATAATAGATCATATCAGGATTATTAAGGACTGATAAAATACTCATTACACTAGCAGAAACATGCTACTAACCTGATCTCTCAAAGTGCCTGTAAGAGTGGGCTAAGCCCAACGAAATCTTCTTGAACGACGTCCTTATCCAGAGTAAGATTTTTTTAGACAATCCCAGCATGAGAATTGTAGAGCCTCTAATCATAAAAACAAAACTACACAGTCTTGACAGTGTAGTTTTGTTTTTTTGCAATCCCTACACCCGAGGCGAGGCGGGGAATGCACGACTGCTCAGAAGTGCTAACATAGTTGTTTTGCTTTATATACCCCAGCTCTGCTGACAGGTCTGCCTCATCGTGTCAGTGCCAGTCCTGATTGGCTTCCTAAAAGAAAGTATCTTGTGAGAGGGGATCTACTCTGTGTAACCATACACCACCTGTTGGTTTGATTGACAACGCTAACTTTGGAAGCACAAAAGGGATTCACTGAGGAAACATCATCTGTTCCAAAGATTTGATTTATAATTCAATTTCATTTATAACGTGCAGTTTACAAGCCATTGCAAATTTCCTAGGTCGTACGCAAAAGACAAGAAAGCAATAAAGAAGCATTTTAGCAGAGACACGGACAAGTCAGAAGTAGTCATATCAGTGAGATTCAGCCTTACTTTCATTATAAAATATCCAAGAAGCTACCAAATGCATCTGTCAATCACCAGACTAAATAAGTAAGCTGAGCTCAGACATGTGGCTGCACATTATTAGAATACACTGTTTAAATTATATTTTCCATAACTTTGAATTCTAAAACTGTATACAGTAATACATAGATCTGGTACTCTGGGATTTTTGGTTTGTTTCCTTCACAATTTTTCTGTTGGCAGTTAAGCTTAACAAACAATAGCATACAAAGTGCAGAAATATAAATTCTGTGAAAGTAAATTAACATAGACAACTACTGTGATTTCTAAAAAAGCAGATTTTAAGTGTAATGCCTTTTTTCTAGATCTGTGGAGACCTTGTGCAGACCACAGAGTTAATCATCCATGGAATAACACGTTAGTTTGTGAACTTCTGCTAACCTAGCTTCGTCAGTCTATGCAGCTAATTGTACCATTAGATTCGCTGCCTCCTAAACAGAGGTCAGAGTTATAGGACTATTTTCGTCTGTAGCTGGAATAGGAGGTGTTTTCCCACAACTCCATGTTTGCCTGTTTCCATTGTTGCCTTTTTAGTCAAAAATCACTCTCCTTCCTTATGAGGTGGAATATATATAACGCATCTCCAGCAAACTCTTTGAACACATAACTGGCTTGGAAGACTACTCGTGCTTAAAGTCAAGCATGTGCTTAGCTGTTTTGGTAAACGGAGGACTTCAGTCTGCTGTTACCAAGATCTACATTGATTGAAATCTCTCAGAGGATACCTAAAGAGCTAAGCACAGGCTGGAGTTTTGTATGATCAGCTACTTTTGTGTTTGAAGACAACCTGAAGGAAACCTCCAGCAGAGGCTCCAGAAAATGCCAAGGAGAGAGAATACCATCTCTATGACTCTTACAAGGGGTATTATACTATAGTTTGCACATCTGAAAGAAACAAGAATGGATATATTGTTGTGATCTCATAAAATAACTTCAGAAATTTGATCTGCCCTTTAATTTATCCATCCTATAAAGTGTCAACTTTACGGCATGCAGCAGTGACAACAGCAACAGAGACTGGAGGAACAGTCTCTGCACTGGTACTATCTGGACTCACAGAGGTTGAAAGTCACAGAACTACGGCTCATTTTTAACTTCACGTTGCAAAAAGATGTCAAAGAGACTAATCTTTCTGTATGACTTAGTATGATAACAAATGCAAGTCTACGCATTAGTGGGGACGATAAGTTGTCTTGTACTACAAGACAGAAAACGCCCAAAGAAATCTGTGTAAAGGATATCTAAATTCTGATTCTAAATAGCGACTCACTAAAGTAGCAGATGGCCATTTTTCTCTGTAGTTGTATACTTAAATATTCAATGAAAAATCAAACTTGGATAAAGGACACAGGCTAGTATCTGCAAACTTAATAAATGCAGTCAGCTTTTTGATTGTTTATTTCACCTAGATGTCATCATTAAGTTTATGACCATGTGATAATTTCTAAATGACAGTAATGTGCAAACTGTCACTTTTGAAGTTATGAGATGGCCAGAAGTTTAAATTTTTCTATTTCAATCAAGTCAACAACAATTGATTATAATAATAGAAAGTTGTAAGGAAAAAATTTGCTGCATTCAAATGCATAAACAAAATATATTGTATTTTTAAAATAAGTTCCTTCCCTTTTTTTTTTTTTTTGGAAGCATTACATTTGCTTTTGATCACTGTTAAGTCTATTTCCATTCCAACAAAAGTTTGTACCTTCTCAACTTTTTACTTTTCCTGGTGAATTCAGAAATGAAACTGAACAGTGAAATATTTCTCTCATGCTCTCAAGGAAATATAAATTATTTACATTTCATGTGTTCTGTTAGCAGAATGACTGTCAGTCCAGTGTGATTTCTGCATGTTTAGTGTCACATAGTATATCCACAATAAAAAGCAGGAGGACTTCAGTCTTACTATTGTCCCGCAAAAATACTGCTGGTAAAAACGACACTATTTCTTTGCTCTAGGATCAAACAAAAGTCAGATCCAGACAACGACAAAGATATTTTTTTCAGGTGGACATACAAATTGCGGAATGTTACAAAACTCCAGCATTTGCTTCAGTCTGCTACTGTTTTAAGTATAAACTATATATTGCCAATATTACTATACTATACATATTACATTGTAGGCCAAAAATCCATTTAAGAAATAGCAGGTAATCTTCAACACAATGAAACGTTGTGATGTGGATACCAGCAACCTCTTTGTATGTGATTCACTTTGATTAGTTTTAATAATCCTACTGACTTAATGAGTGGAGCTGTACAAAAGGAATGATTACTTTAGTAGGCCCACATGAAGATGCCTTTAAAGCTGAAGACTCTGGCCAGAATTTAAATACAAATTTATTCTTTCTTGAACACTGAAACCTTCTAAATGACACTTAGGTGCCTAACTTTTCAATGTGCTTTTTTGAAGTGGAATTTCCTAATTTGTTTGTTTGTTGGTTTTTTTTTTTTAAATCGCAACCTTTCCTTTTCTTTATTATCTGTCAAATATTATGTGCTGTAGCTGCACAGCCAATATAGCATAAACTGCTTTCTTTCCTAGTCACTTAATCTGTCTACACACGCTAATTTGCAAACTGCATAAAAAACCCCGGTATCTTTCCCATTTCCTTCTCTACTTCTATTTTCTCTCACTCTCTTCATTCTTTGTCCTGTTCTTTCCAATACAATGACTGTTATAGCTCCTTTTATATGCTATTTTCATTTAATTCTGCCTCCCAACCAAATGTGTAGAACCAAGGGAGTAATGAAATAATTCATTTGGTCAGTTTAAATAAAACTTCTCACCAATAAGATCTGTCCTAAATCCTTATAAAACCAAGAAAACACAACCCAGAATGTATTTAGATACTATATCCTTGCTGAATTTTCAGTTTTATAAAGTCTACATTTGGAAAAAACTTTTGCTTTCCCTCCTCCCACCCACCTTCTTTCTTTAAACTTAGAAATAACTCAAAAATTATCTTAACTGTTAAACCATTAAATCCTGACCTGAAATCAAAATGCATTTCCACAACCTTCATCGATTCCCCTTCCTCTGCAAACGCTACAAACAGTACTTTGTAACGACACCTTTAGAATCTTAAGTAAAGGCTATAAAACGCATTATATTTACAAGAATATTCATGTTTGTGTGCTGCAGTTGGCTTCTGAAAAGCATTTTCAAATGCTAATGTCTCTTATCTAAGCTATTGCAGCTGATTACGCAAGATATATTAATCTTTTTCAACACAAACTAAAACTTTTTTGCAGAAAATTGTTTTACTTGCTACTGAAGAAGGCACCGTCAGTTACTCCCAAAGCAGGAAAGATAACGAAGGTATTTCACATGTGAACAACTTACTGGGAACTGTGACTAGATTTGGATGGGTATGGAATAGTTGTCAGGGTCCATATTCACTACCTTCATGTTATCAGATGTTGTTCATATCATCATCTTGGAAATATCTAAGGAGGAGATTTACAGACATCACTTTTCCCATGTTTTCCTTGTATTTTATTTCTTTATATGTCATTTCCATACATTTACGTATGCAGAAGAAGGAAAGAATAAAAACATTACTTACTCAGCACCTCACCTTTGAAAGCAAGGCTCTACTAACAAAACCTGAGATCCTGAATAAAGGACATATTTACTAACTGTTCCATTTCCTTCCACAAAACAATAAATAAAATCATAATACTGGGGTCAAATTTGAACTAACATAGCAATCGTCCTTAGAACTTAATAGATACATATATGCTGTCAAATTTTGCAGACCTCTTAACAAATTCATCAGCATCTATGATTTATAAAATGAAAAGAAACAAATACACTTACCATGTTTCATAACAGATTCATTGCCTGGGAACACTTGGAGCAACAGCTGGGTTCTTCATTGGCAAAAAAAAAATGCTGGGATTTTTGTTTATAAACACCACTTTCTACTATTCTGTAAGAAAACCATAGGTAAGAACAGATTTATAGATTTCTATTTTGCCTCATTAATTATTTAGAAAAGTGTTAACTTTTTTTTTTTAAGTAAAGTCTTGTTTTGTGAATCAAGGCAAAAAAAAAGCCCACATCAAATACTAAGGTTCAAGTTGTTCTTACGGGCTGACAATCAAGAAGAAAAGCAAGCCTTAAATTTGCTGAGGAATCAAGATCAGCAGGTACTGAATTATACACTTTCGTTTTTATAGAATGGATTTTTATATAGGAAAACTTATATGCCACACTTACAGATTCCAGTGACAAAAGAACATATATTTTAGGATTTATTTTTTTGGGGGGGATATCTGATATGTACCTTGTCAGTTCTCTGACTGTAACTGCAGTTAGAAACACAGTATTTTCTGTGAAATCTTTAAATCTAATCAATGTTTGCAAAAGATGGGCCTAGTGGGAAAAAAGGTAATTGTATGGGATCTACAAGATGTTTGATATTTATTTCCATTCCATTTTGGAAAAAAAATGTTTGTGAGAGATACAGGGTAAATAAGCAGAGCTAGAACCTCAGTCCTCAGCTACTATATACAGCCTTGTGACTCTCCTGTGGGCAGGACGCCACTGACATTTCCATAACGTCAAGCAAGTGATTTATGTGATCA